AGTGAAGAGGATGAAGATGGACCATTAGATGAGGAAGGTGATGAAGATGAGGAGGAAGGTAATGCATTTAACAGTAATCTGTTCATATACAGGGATGTATCCTATTATATGTCATGCATCTGTTGTTATAAGATGAAGAGGAAGATGATGATGATGTGCCTAAGGAGGAAGGTGCATGTGCAGGGACCTCAGCAGAAGCAGAGGTGAGCTCTGACGAAGAGGCAGAGAAATGTGCCATCTGCCTCCATTCATTTAACAGACAGCCTGTGGCCACACCGGAGAACTGTGAGCACTACTTCTGTCTTGATTGCATCCTTGAATGGTCAAAGGTGAGTTGAAATATTTGGTTTTATCTCCAGACCGCAATTCCACTTTCATAATATTTTTAATGCTTATTTGTTTTAGAATGCGAACTCTTGTCCAATAGACCGAACTAACTTCAAAGTTATATATCTAAGAACATGCTTTGGAGGCAAGGTGCAGAAAGCGGTATGTTTTCCTCATACATTGAGCCATACATTAATGTCTTTACTTCTTATTATATATATGCTGATTTTATTGTGTGGTGCAGATCACTGTACAAAAGCCTGCCAAGCAGTGTGAGGAGGAGACAGTAGATGTGGACCTAGAGGAGACGAGCTGTGAAGTGTGTGGAGGAAGTGACCGTGAAGACCGGCTTTTGCTTTGTGATGGGTGTGATGCTGGGTAATATCTGCTCTAACCTTTCATATGCAAATGGTTTAAAATGAGGATGACAAATTTTTGGAAAAGTTGATACTGCTTTGTTATAAATACAACAATATAACATTACTTTTTACAATTGGTTCATAGATATCACATGGAATGCCTTACACCACCACTTGATGCTGTTCCAGTTGAAGAATGGTTTTGCCCAGAATGTGAAGCCAATAACCGCCAATCAAGTTAGTTGATTATGAAATAAGCACCAAGAGTATGGCTATTTTATTCCTAATGCATGATATATTTCCTTTTGATTTAAGGAGCTTCAGCCACAGAAACAAGTGACACAGACAGCCTTCCTTCCACTGCACGTCGTGCCTCTAGCCGTGCTCACACTCAAGTTGGCCAGACCCGAGCTATTGCCCGCACCCAGCACAGCGAGAGAGTTCGAGCCAATGTCAATCGCCATCGCATCACACAGGCACGCTCTCAGGAGGTTTGGCATGAAGCGTGGTGCTTCTGTTTTGGTATTCTAACATGAGCGTACTTAATGTGAATGGCTGTACCTTTTTAAAATATTTTTTTACAACCTTTAACACAGCATGGTGTTGTATATCTTTAGGTGGGACTGGGCTCAATACACAGACTGAAGTTACAAATGTTTTCTCTTTTAGTTTGCTCCTACATATCTGATACGATCTACCTGGCTGGATGAGACCATAAATGCTGTTGTGGCGGGTCTAAACACTGCAGAGTATGTACGAGATTTAACCTCTCGACCTTCATCATCACGGCGCTGTATGTAAAAATTAAAATAGTATAACATGGAAATATTGTTTCATTCGAAAATAATTCTTTTTGTGTTTAGGTAAAAGAAAAGTCAAAAGGAGAAAAACTTCAAGTATAAAGGCAAAAGCAGCTGGTAAGGGAGTCAAGAGGCGAAAAAGGAGAGTGAGAAGGACAAAATCCAGGAGGAAACCTGTGAGTGCATTTAAGCTTGGCAGTGATTGTGGTCATCCTATGCTTTTCTGATGCTACGTCCATGCTTTGTTGAAGGTGTTGAAAAAATCGCTCAATGCTCGGTATCGTATTGCTAATAATCTGGGCATTGTGAAAGACAAAAAGAGTTCATCCCTTCCAACCGTTTACAGACCATCAGAAAGTACTCTGAGCAATATGAGGGCGGATATTGGTGCAGCTTCTCTATCCATCTATGGAGATCCATTTGATCTGGACCCTTTTACAGACCGGTAAATCTGGTCGCATGCTACAATAAATATTATTTACAATCTTTTTCCTTCTAAGTTTTTTTTAGATTTATATATAGACTTTGATGTTTTGATATAGTCTTCCTCAAACTCTGATTCTAGTGAAGATGAAGAACAGAGCCACGAGTCTGCACTGCTAGAAGCCAAGAGGCGTGGCATCTCACGCTCTGCCTTCCGCTCTCATCAGCCTGTGGCTCGCCCAGTTGGTCTCTCCAGGTAACCGACATTTACATCCAATTTTAATTGTATGTTTATTGTGCCAAAGTTACTTATTTAAACCCTATACCAGAAGGTCTGTGAGCATTCCACAAGTGACCAGTGTTGTTGAAGCAACTCCTGTACCTGATCTGCTGGGCAGCATACTCTCCGGGCAAAGCATGCTTTTAATGGACAGTTCAGATGTGGTTATAAATCGTGACGGTTCGCTTAAGGCTACAAAGCCAAGTAAGTGTTTACTAGATCAAATGTGTTACTTATAGTTTGCTGTATTCTGTGCATTTGGTAATCCAATTATCTGTTTGTCCTTTATTTTTAGTGAGTTTAACCAACACAATAAGGTCACACAGCAGAAGCAGTAGCTCTGGAGATGGTGGCCCATTGAATAATCCAGATGCACAGCTAGACTGCATGGACCGATTGGGATCTTCAGAAGGCCCCATGAATACTCATGTTTCCCAGAGCTATTCTCCTTTAAATCTTCCACAAGACTCTCCTCAAACCCTCATTGATGCATCTTTTCACCATGCCCCATCCAGAAGTAGTAATCGACCAAATCAAAGATTTAGCGATCCCATGACAAATGGGGTACGAGACAGAAGAGATGGTAGTTCCTCCGAGAGCAAAGCTTTCTCTCAGTCTCATTCTGTAAAAGCTCCTATAAAACCCATGTGGGAGGATGTATCTGTGCTCCCAAGAATCCCAAGAATAAAAAGAGAGAATATCAGTGCTTCTACGGCTAATGATCGGAATTCATTGCCTGAAACCGGCATAAACAAACTGGCTGGGGACAAAGGGCGGCGGCTTTCTGTGGATCAACAAAATGGCAGGACAGATGGGCAGAGGAACAGACCTGATGGAGCAGGTTCTTCCTCTGGATTCTCTAGCTCTTTCTCCTCCTCCTCTTCCTCCTCACCTGCCTCACACACCAACCACCAGAGATTCTCTTCAAGTTCTTCGTCATCCTCAGTAAGTTTTCGTATTAACTCCAGTGGCAATTCGTGGCATTCAAGACGCTTAAATATTTCGTCACCCACTCCAAGTGGATCTAGTCTACAAGAACATGGTTCAAAAAAGGAAGAAGACGAAAAGAGGAGACAAATGCGTCGGGATAAGCAGAAGCTTCTGGCATCGCGTTCCAAGGAGACAAATATTTATGATCCGTTCAATCCTACAGAGTCAGATTCAGGCAGCTCTGATGGGGAAAGTGGAGGGAAAAATATGGAGGGTAGCTCTCGACTACAACAAGAGCCAGCCAATTTGAAAGGAAAAGTTTTGTCACGCAGTAGATGGGACCTAAAACATGAAACACATTCAGAAGACAAGCCAACTCATTCTGCTCAGGGTTCAAGTGCGCAGCCACAAAGTAGTAAAGGAATCTCCACTTTTAAAAAGGGTTCTATATTCTCTCAATATGAAACACCGACCCCATCAAGGACTACAATAAAGGAAGAACCAGAGTCAAGTGCGCAGCCACAAAGTAGTAAAGGAATCTCCACTTTTAAAAAGGGTTCTATATTCTCTCAATATGAAACACCGACCCCATCAAGGACTACAATAAAGGAAGAACCAGAGTCTGATGAAGATATTATAAAATCAGAAACAAAAGATGACACTCAACCAGTGGAGGAAAGTAGGAATTTTATAAAAACTGAGACAGAAGATCCTGTCCCTGAACCACACCCGCCTCTATCTGATGACAGCTGTTCAGCTGAAGCCAGCTCCAGTCCAGTTAAAAAGTCACAGACTATGGAAACTAAGTCAGATTTGCATATGAGCCAATCAGAAGATTCAGCCAGTGAGATTGCTACCACAGAGACAAAGGATCAGGTGGTGCACTCTAGTAGCACAGAACAGGCTAAAAAACAAAGTAGTCCCATCAAAGATAAAAGGCCGGTCCTGACTGAGGTCAAACATGAAGGTAAAGAAAAGGAGAAATTCAAAACAAAGTCTTCCAGACGCTCCTGGTCAAAAGAGAGAAAAAGAACACTCGGAACATCAGACAGCTCCCTCTCCAAGTCTCCAGACAAGACATCGAAAAAAAGAAGACGCTCGCTGTCCAAAGACGAGAAGAGAACCAGGTACTGCTCGGCTAATGCCATATCAACTGTACATAGTGGATGATGTACTTGTAGTTGTAATATGAATGTCATGACTACTCACTATGACTAATACCTTAGCAGCCACTTGTTTGGGTGAAATTCTGAAAGTCTCTTTTCTTCTGTAGGTCATCTTCCACCTCCAGCAGCCGGGAGCGATCGAGGACCAAGAAACATAAAAAACAAAGCAAGGAAAAAAATGAGGACAAAGATGTGAAAATACATTCTTCAAAAGATAAAAGGCGTGACCGATCTCACTCCAAGTCTAGGTCCAAATCACGCTCTCGATCCAAGTCAAGAGAGAGAAGACTTGCTCGGTCCAGGTCTAGAGAAAGGAGAAAAAACGAGTCGCATCATCGGTCTAAAAGTAGATCAAGATCAAAAGACAGGAGAAAGTCTCGCAGTACATCTCGGTCTAGAGACAGGAGAAAGTCTCGCAGTACATCTCGGTCTAGAGACAGGAGAAAGTCTCGCAGTACATCTCGGTCTAGAGACAGGAAAAGGTCTAGAAGTACATCTCGGCCTAGAGACAGGAAGAAAAATGAGCACCGCCACCAGTCTCGTAGTAGATCAAGATCTAAAGAGAGGAGAAAGTCTAGAAGTACATCTCGATCCAGGGATAAGAGGAAAAATGAATCCCGTCATGAGTCTAGGAGTAGATCTCGATCAAGAGATAGAAGAAAGTCTAGAAGTACATCTCGCTCTAGAGAAAGGAGGAAACATGAGACACGCCATCTGTCTCGAAGTAGATCTAGATCTAGAGATGGGAGGACCAGCGAGTCCCATCAGTCATCGCGAGACAAAGTGGAGCCTCGTTCAAAAGATAAGAAAAGGAATAGCTCCAATTCCAGAGAGAAAAAAAATAGGGAAGACCCAGCCCCAGTCAAGACACAGAAATCCTCTGACACCAGCAGATCTGCTAAAGTTAAACAAACTTTGGACAACAGTAAATCATCTGTCAAAGATACTAAAACTAAACCATCAGACTCGAGTAAATCATCCATCAAAGATACTAAACCATCAGACTCTAGTAAATCGTTTCTCAACGATACTAAATCATCAGACTCTAGTAAATCATCCATCAAAGATTCTAAATCATCAGACTCTAGTAAATCATCCATCAAAGATTCTAAATCATCAGACTCTAGTAAATCATCCATCAAAGATTCTAAATCATCAGACTCTAGTAAATTGTTGGTCAAAGATGCTAAACAATCTGACACCAATAGACCCTCTGTTAAAGACAAACCTCCATCTGAATCTAGTAGATCATCCGATAAAGATGAAATATTGGCTAAAGTCAAAAGAAACAATGACTCTTCGTCAGTCGAAACCGTTAACGTTACTAAACCAAACAAATCAGACATCTCATCACCCATTACTTATACCGTGGTTAAGAAAGAACCTGAGTCAAAGAAAGAAGAGGTGGCTGTTGACAAAAAGGATAAACCCAAAAAAGAAATCAAGACAGACATATTTGCAATGCTTGACATGTTTGAAGGTAGTCCAACCAGTAATGTCAATAAGGAGGAGCACATGGATATCCCAATTTCAGTGAATGACGTCTGGTGTGAAGAAGACATGCACAGTATCAAGACAGAGATGTGCAAGTCTGATGAACCGGAGCCTAAGTCCCCTGATGAGAAGCCCCTTGTTTCAGATTGTAGCTATGACGATGACCTGCATACTATTGTAACGCCAAGCCCTCCTCAAGATTCACCAGATAATAGCACTGAAGGCCAGAACTTTTCTGTAAAGCAAGAAGCTGTTAACCAATCTTCTGATTCTGATGAGGATTTCAATGTAGATGTAATGTTGGACAACCTGGCCCTGGTCAAAACCAAGCTACATGAGCAAGCCGAAGAGACAGTCAAACAAAAAAAAGATGAGAAGAGTGAGGGAGAACCGGCTACTGCAGGCGCCAAGTCCAAATCACAAGTGAAAAGAGTCACATGGAATATAGAGGAACCTGTGGGACCTCAGCCCGAAAAGTCAGCAAGCAGTAAGTCCACATTTTTAATCGATTATACCATTTAATAATTCCCAACCACCTTTGAGCAGTAGCAAAAAGAAATTTGACAAATAAAATGTGTTTATTTATTTCTCATTAACTAAACACAAGGTTTGAAGATTGAACAGAAGCTATTTGTGGCATAACTCAAAAAGCTGCTATAAAAAAAAAAGTCAGAAACTGCAACATCGATGATCTACGATAAGACTTGCATTTCTTTCACAAACTGAGAAAATAGATGTTGACTTTCCAAAACATGGATTATAATAAACAGAAGCATGAGTGAGTAGAAATGGAACAGAAGAGGGGTGAGTGAAGATTGACACTGCCATCTGCAGGGAGGGCCAGCCCGGGTCTCCAAGATGGCGGCCCATTCAAGGCCTGTGCTCATTTTCACATGTTGAAGTTGACCGCCCCAATGATTGGCAGGGAACTACCATTTTGGCTAGTTCTGCTCCTCTCAGGACAAGAGTAAGGAATGAGTGTTCTGACCAAGAACATAAGTTTCAGGACAAGAAAAGTTTAGGATTACAAAGGAGACTAGAATCCCCTTGTGAAAACTGCATGTCCCCTGTCAGCTGAGGACTATGAGAATATGTCCCAACAATGTGTCGCTCCGGATAATTTGGGCTGTAGTTAAGAACTTCAACTCAAGACTTAAAACCGAGAGTGAGAATGCACCCAAAATGTTGGCAGGTCTACAAAGTTGCTGGTGCACCTGTTTTACGACATCTGTGTATGTATCATTGATTAAATTCTATAAGATTAAGTAAAGCGTAAGGACTTCTTTTGATGTTTTCAATTGATTTTGTAACATGATACAACCTATTAAAAAAAGATTTTATATTCTATTATATTTGGTTCTTGTATACCTTATTCTACGGAGAAGAACAAAGATTAACCTTCCTGAACTATTTGATTGCATAAAAATATGCAACATAAAGGGAATCTGAATAAGTGCAATGGACACAAATGAGCCCTAGCTTGACACAAGGCAAGGCAAGTTTATTTATATAGCACAAATCATACACAAGACAATTCAAAGTGCTGAACAAAACAAGAAAGCATTAAAATCATAAATAATCACTACATTAAAAAGAAAGATAAAAATATAAAATCCCTCAGTTGTATGCACAGCTAACCAGAACTGTCTTTAACCTGGTTTTAAACATTGTCAGAGAGGAGGCCTGTCTCACAACACATGCTAAACATTCAATATGAACAAATCCATGTTTGTTTTGCTATTTCCTAATTAAATACACGTCACAGTATTATGATGATAATTAATATACTACATAGTTTACAATCAGTCTATAATACTCAATGTTCTCTTTTCAGAAGTGGCTTTGTACAAATTGAAGCTGAAACAGGAGGGAATTCGCAGACCTTCTGCATCCTTGTCCTTTCAGGTAAAAGTATGAAAGCACATGTGTGCCCAGAAGATGGCAGCATTTGCTCATAGAAGCCTAAATGAACTGTCACGTGTCAAACATGAAACTAGTTCTCAAGTGATTTCTCAGTAATCGAAATTTAAATTCACATTTGAGCCATTTCATATGTTATTTAATAAAACTTACTAACATAAAAAAATAGAATAAAAGCATGCACTTGATGAATTCATCTTTAGCATTTTAATTGTACATGGTGATATGGTTACTATATTTATTTCTTTAGTGCTCTTAACATTCTCCCCATTTCTTGAACAGGATTTTACCGGAACAGCGAGTGATGATGACGTGACGATGAGTAAAGACCCAGAGAGGTCCTGTGGCGCTGACCGTGCACAGGGGCTGGGCGACGATGGGGATTCAGTCAAGAAAGACAAGGTAACAGACTTGGACACAGTAGGGTTTTTATTTTTTATTTTTTCTAATAGAAAAGATGGGCTGACACTTGTACTCCAACACTAGACTTACTTAAAGAAGCTTCACATGCAAGAGCGAGCCGTAGAGGAGGTCAAACTGGCCATCAAGCCCTTTTACCAGAACCGAGAAATCACCAAGGACGAGTACAAAGATATTCTACGCAAAGCTGTGCAGAAGGTAAGCGTTTTATATATTTTAAGTGATCGGTGGGTTTTTCAATAACTCAATCTCCAATGATCTGTGTTTTTTATTTTTTATTTTATGTCCATCAGGTATGCCACAGTAAGAGTGGAGAGATCAACCCGGTGAAGGTGGGCAATCTAGTCAAGGCATATGTGGACAAATACAAGCATGCTAGAAAATACAACAGATCAGCTGACAGCCCATAATACACTAAACCAAATCCGTTTGGCGCTATTGGACAGGTCGAATTTGATTATTTGGGGACACATTTTGAACAAATAAAGCGTCTCTCGATACGAAGAGGGCGCTTGAATTGTTGCTGCCAAAATCTGGAGCAGCGCAGCCAAGTTTCCAGTGTCTTTTTTTAAAAGAGGCACATTTTAATGACGTATTCTTTAGTTTTGACCGAAAAAGGAACATTCTGCTCTGGTGTTCTACATTGTTTTGTGTGAGGGACGGGTATTTATCAGAGTAACGTTTGTTTAGGGGGGGGAAAAACCTGTCTAATAGTCGAGAGGAAACGTTAAGGTAAAGAGTGATATGCAACTTTTGTAGGAAAAAAAGGATTGTGTTCAGGAACTGCATTTTAGACGTGTTTGTAAATACAGAGTTGATCAATTCTGTCGTCCCTTCAGCCAACAACTTGTAGTTATTATTTTCGTTGCCTGCTTGTCTTTTGCTAAGCATTTGTCGGGAAAAAGTCAGATCACTTTCTTTTCTTAGACTTGATACTCTCATCATATTCATTCTTCACCGGGTTTTGGCATGATACATTTTCTCCCTATTCTAAAATGTCCACCAAATGAGTGACATCTGTTTTATTTTAATACCCCTAAAGGCTGCCTTTAAGTTACTTGATTGTAATTCATGAGGAATCCGCATATCGCTTCTGTGCATTCATTTAACAAAAACTTACCAGATTAGCAAATTGTCAATGGCAGGAAGAAGCTTTTTTTATTCTGTAGCTTCAGCATTGAGCTTATGTAAAAGTTTATTCTAATTTTACTTAAAATGGTAACCCTAATTTTAAAATGTCTACACTATGAAAGGCTGTGTTAAAGAACAATATGAAAGTGATTAATTTATATGTTCGGGATCATTTCATGTCCGTCATGTATCTTTTACAGGGTCAGTTACTGTTGTTGACCGAACTGTTTTTTTTTCATAATTGTATATATTGTGTCATAATGGTCATAAAATGAGTGATATACATTTGATTAACGCATTGTAAAGGTTTATTGGAGCGAAAGCAAATCCTTATCTGGTTAAATGACCTATTAACTGCTCATGTTAGTCAGAATTGATTTACTTGTTTCCATTTTTTTTGTAGAAGTGTTAACAATAAATGAAAAACAATCTACTTTGACTCATGTCCATATTCATGACACAAGTTTGCCTTTTCAATGGGTTTTATTCTCAAAATTCCACCAATTTGTCATAAGTAATAAGTAATGAAGGTGCATGGATACATATTTTTTTTATTTACATCCCAGAAATGTAGAAAACAAACATGAAGAACAGATAAAAAAATAACGGGCGCAGTACTGGTAACTGATTTAAATTGTACATTCGATTCTCTTGTTGTGTTAGCTAAAACGATTGTCTAGTAATGCTCATTCATTACCTGCATACACATTTCCCCTGTAGCCTTTAGAAAACCAATGCCATGTATGCATTTGAACTAATAATGTTCTTGTGTGGGTATATTTTCTTGACCCTCCATTGTCTGCATGAAATCATTGATGAGGTCCATCAAACTGTTATAGGAAGTCTGCAGGCTGATGTTTGCGCTGTGAAGAGATGACGCTCCTTCCCTTTGCGCTTGCTCGTGGAAACACCGGCAGATCAGTGGGACCACCTACGAAACGAGAGCATGAGTGTATAAAGTAAGGGACAGGGCAACACAAATGGCCACTTATTATGTTCCATCCATCCATCCATTTTCTACCCTTTAATCCATTTCTGGGTCAGGGGGGTAATCAGAGATGCCACCCAAGTCTCATAGCACCAGCCCCTCACTGACCCTCTGCAGGTGGTGAGTCCACAGGAGGACGGCTGCTCTCTGAGTGTGAGCATAGCCTTGATCTTTCAGTGGGGCTTTTGGGCAAAGTGGAGTCAAGTGTCTTGCCCAAGGACACAACGACAGCAGTCATCAGTGGGAGTCGGTGGAGAAGGTGCTGAGGTGGGAATTGAACCCACAACCTTCAGGCCTGAAGGCCAGTGCTCTACCAACTGAGCTACTGTCGCCCCTCACTTATTATGTTATACCACATTTTTTCTACTTCGCTTTACTATAGAAAGTACTGTGAGAAAGTTTATCACACTGGGCAAACAAATTTAAAGTGTACCTTTTGAAAGAGAAAGTAAAAGCAATACCTTTACAATGATTAGTTTCCTCTCCAAAGCTTTTCCATCTGGGAATTTTTCACCAAAACACATGTTGATGGTGTATTCTGGTGAAGGTCCATTATTTTCTTTAAAGTTTTTCAGTTCTGACAAATGCAAAAAACCCACTTATACATCACTGTAAACCTAAGCGCATACATGTATTTTATTACTCTTACCATTCAAATACTTGTCAAAGCTTAGTACCTGCACCTTGGTGTCTGGGGGCAGTTTCTGGGGATATGGGAGAGCGACCGTGGGATCGCTGGTGCTTGAAAATACATGGCACCTGTCTTGTCTACAGGCAAAGATCCCATGCTCATTCACTTCCAGCGTGAGGCCTCTCTGGACGCTCTCCAGGATGCGTTTTGTGTATTTAATCTAAACAAATCATGATTTCGACTGCTGATTATAATATATTCCAAAAATTGTATGTTTTTAGTTTTCAGAGTACCTGTTTTTGGTCTATTATGAAGTTGTCTGGAGAAGGGAAGCAGATTGAGTGGTGCACATTTGGCTTCCGAGACTCCTGCGGGTAATGCAGTTGGAGAGAATGAGTAAAATGACAGGGCACGATGTTCTTGAGCATCTCTCTTCCTCTGTAGAAAATAGAAATCTCCAGCTCAATCGGTGGAACCTGCTCAACAGGGGGATGCTGTGGTGGATTAAACTGAGTGGGAGGTGCTAGGAATAAAACATGAAGAGTAATGTTAATGAATGACAGTTGTGTCGACTGACCAAATATTTGTATTACTCACGCTCCATGTAAGATTTCTGCTCCAGTATCATTTCAACATTATTAGCAGGAGCTGAGAAAACCGGATAAGTTGCAAGCACTGGACTTGTCTGTTGAAATATGAAGCCATTTCCCCAACCATTTTCTAGAAAAGTCAAAAACAAGACTCTTATGTGCTGCAGAAAATCACAACAATAACAATTTATTATAAGTTTATATGGCACCTTCCATGTTGCTGCTGATGTCTAGTTCCCTAATTGTGTTCAGTAGATTGAGCTGATGAAGAAATCAGTGAGAATTAATGAAAGAAATTGTTGTATTGTTGCCAAATGGTAAGGAATCCCCAAAATCACCCAGCGTCTATTGTCAGCAGAAGTGAAAGTGCCAAGGCTTACATCATTCCCTGATGGAAAGTCCTCTGTGGGGGAGTAGTGGATGTCTGGCGTGGAATCATAGTCTTCCTGAGAGCTCTGCATTTGAAGACCTTTGAACGCATCGGCATGACCCACATCATTCTCTGCATAGCTCTGGAAACTCTATAATATTGAGACTTACCCTCAGTGCTTATAATCTCGTATATTTTATGAGGGTCATCCGTGTTCTTGGAGTTGTCTTGTATCATCTTGAATTGACGTTTGAGGTTGTTGAGAGCACAGCGGAAGTTGGTTTTCCACTTTGCCTTGTCGTCTGGGAATTCGTAGATTTTCCCACTGGCCACTGCCCACGCCTGTCAATTGTATTATTACTAGCTACAGAAATTAAAAATGTAATGTATTTGTATTACACTATTACCGTCTTTAAAACATGACAAAGTTGCACTACTTCTCAGTTACTTTTGTGAATGATTTTTGTGTTACACTTAATTTGGGGAAAAATACTAAATCAGTAATTAAATGCAAGTAGTGGGATTAGAGCAATATGTTGTTTGTAGCACTGTATAGATTTTTATATTCAAAAGTCTACTGTATTAAGGGTTATTTATCAAAAGTGATTGCATTATCAGCTATTGTGTGTATATCAGTGGTGCTGATGTACACACAAAACATTAACAGTAGTATGGAGCTACACACATCAAATCAGACAATACATGCATGCTATCCACCCCTGGGCGATTCACAGTAATAACAATGCCATGCTATAAAAGATCCGTTGATAGAACAGATTTTATACTACCTTGAATATTTTCCCGTCGTCATCATTGCAGTCCTTCCTGGAGTTGTGTTTCCACGGCACTCTAAACTTCTTGTGCTCAATATAGTGGAGCCCAGAGTATTGGCCCGTCTCCACTTGTTCTATGAGCCAGCTGGCGAACTGTGGCTTTGGCCTGAAAAGGAAGGACAAACTTGTCTAGCTTCTACAAAATATAAATAATTTCAGCCAGCAATAACAATCGCACCACTTCATTGCATTTAAATAATCCATTCATATTTAACCTCCATAGTTCTAATACACGCAATCTTTCAAACAACTCGAGATTTCTCCTACCTCTGCATTTCTTAACCTGATCATGTGCACATTCCAGACTTCTGCGGTGGAGTGCGCTTATAAAGGGTGTGTGTGTGTGACGCAGCGATGACTCCTGCGTGACGCTGTCGTCCACGCGCACTTCCGGATGCGCTGGAGCGGTTTCGGTGTAAATTAGAAAATGGAATATTGAAACTGAAAGTGTGCACGTATAGTTGCATCACCGCCTCCTTCACCGTTTCATCACTGGAATTAAGACCTGCCAACCCAGTTTCTCTCTACACAATCACAGATGATAATATCTGTCTTCGTGCCCTTTGCTCTCCGCGGGCTCTGTTTATGATTGTTATGAAGCTGTTGGCCAATTTACATTTAACAATTTTGCTGTTAAAGACCTTGTCACCTGTGTTAGGGAAATACTTTTAAATTATATATATTCACGTATTTGTGTTTTATTTTTCTTGACAGCACAGTGTATTATATACTAGACAATTGCTGAGATGAAAATGTTATTTTGTATTATGCTTCAAAATGTAGTTTACTTTATGAGACTTAGCAGCCTGTCACATTGATGTACGTGTTATTTCAAATACTGATTTATAATATGTGTTTGTCTTGAGCAGGAAGCCCTCTATTCCCCCCATGTCACCAGTGTTGGATAAATGACTTATTTCAAATATTACTCGTTCTATAACATATGACACATGCTGAGTGTGTAGCAGTCATGGCCCACAGCAAGTCGTGGCTCCCTTTTTGTGTTGGCATCTTCTTCCCCGTGTCTGAGTGAGTATCCTCCGGACTCTCCGGGTTCCCCTCCAAAAACATGCACCACAGATAAAACCCTCCAGTCAAGGTCCTGACCAGGCCGAGCATCAATATCTGGAACCTCTGGGCGCTGACCTGTCGGCCGATTGAAGAATGGGTCAAATGCAGGGGACCAACATCTGTTCAGGACAATAGATACATATTTCATCCTTTGATAGAATACGAATTAAAGTCATAAGGTGTTGGTTTTTGTTTGTCGCAACTGTAACACGACTAAACATGCACTCGTCTGCACCTCGGGAAGGGGCAGAGTTTACAATAAGCTCCATGCCCTTTATGAACCTCTCTGTTTACCATTCATGTTTCAGTGTTTGTTCTCAAACATTCATGTTATCGACAGCCATGCTCTCTATATAAAATGGCTGTAGGTATGAAGTATATGACACATTTCTCTTCACATTTCTGACAGAAAAGTTGCTCTATATAGTGACCAATCACTGTTGGCCGATCATGTGGCAACAGATCAGAGCGATAGGAAACAAGTTTGATGATTTTTAAAAACGTACTTCCTCTTCACACAGTTTGATTATATACCGGACCTTGCATAAGACATAAAACATTATGTCTGGAAACATGACTTGTTAATAAATGGTAATGTTGCAATTTGTTCAAGAAAACCATGATAATGAGAACCAAAGGAATAAGAACCTGTTTTAAAGATGGATTTGAATGTTTTCAGAATCTAGTTTCTGCAATAAATGTCTGACTCGTGAGAGAGATGGTTCATCAGAACTTACACACTTCTCTCACATTCACCAATGCCAAAGGTCAAATCCCACAGGTGTTGAGAGAGACAGTTTTTCTGAGAGTGCGATGGGGAAACCCTGATTCATAATTTTCTATCTCACAGTTACTTCCTAATACTTATATTTATATTCAACATGTTTCCCCTTTTCATAAAGAACAACACTGCATGATGAATCTATGTGTTACTTAAAAATATAAAATAAAATATATTCAGACAGCCTTTTAAAACAGACGGTAAGCGTGTGTTTTGTGTCATTGGGAAGCCTAAACAAAATCACTGTTGTTGAATCTAAAAGGCTTTGTGACTCTGACCATTAATTCTTTAAAACTGATTGTAATGTTTGTCACTAGGCAGTTATGCGACTATCTTGTGCTGATCACGAATGAGGTTAAATAAATACATCAGAAATAGTTTACATAAATGTGGCTATAGGATGAGGAAATGATACATGCTCTGCTAAAGCACTTCTCTTTTCAGTACTAATGCAAGTGGAGCAGTCCCATTGAAAACACATTATCATTGTCAGATCACAGAGGAAGGCGATAGCTTCTTCCCCATTCACTTCCATTCACAAATACTCAGCATGAACGAGGGCTATGTAACAATGAAATAGTTTAATTGAACACGGAAGTCCATATATAGAGAGAATCACCGGTTAGACAAAGCATGCTACAACACGTGAAAGTGATATTGAGCAATTGACAACAAGTCTAAATATAAAGGGTGACGAGTCGTCTATCATCCAGTCAAATCATCACATTTTGACTAATAAGATGGAGGCTTTTTATGCAGGCACACCCTCAGGTATGACTCACAAAGTAATTGTCTCTTCATTTCAAACTTGTTTTGATGGAAGAAATAGATACCAAAAATATCAGACTACAAAATTGTGTCATTGGCTGTTTTTTTGAGTGAGTCTGAAAACTTTCTTAATTATTAGACTTTCAAATCACCATGGCAAATCAACAATGTATTGTAGTAGACTGGGATGTACACATATAAATAGATGCAATTTTTCCTTCGAGCTGATTGGTTGAGCAAGGGTGGTTAGTATATTATTATTTTAGTGCACATTCAAATAAGTGTGTTTTTGTACAGCCCCAAACCTCTACAGTAGTTGAATAGTCAAACTGAGGATTTTGCAAAAGTTGAAATCAATCAATAAATAGTATTCTAGTGGTAAAAAAAAATAAAAACATAAACAGCAAATGAATGGACCTAATATGACTTTTTCTGTTCTAAAGCTGTGGTAGCACTATAGCAGCCAGAGACCCAGCCAAGTGAAATGTCTAATGGTGCACCAAGATATGTCTATGGGAATTTTCCTGAAAATTCCTGAGATTTCTTTTAAGATGAGAGCAAAAGTTGGAAATTTAACTTTGATCCTTCGCCCCCTGCAGGCCATAAGCTATGACCTAAATACTGTCCAACACTGAGTTGTTCTGTTAATCATACATTTGCGTGAATGCTAAACAGGTTATTAGGGTGTGTGTAAATGAAGAATAAAACATTTGACTCGAGTGGGTTTGACACTTTTTTAAAAACTCTCCTTGGCCCAAAACGTCCAAAACAGCTTTTTGTGGAAAATGTTTGGTTCTGGAGTTTTGTAAGCAGAGGAAGACAGTGCTTTGTAAAAGTAAACTCGTATCGACTATAATAATAGATATATGTTTATAAAAATACAACAATGTTTTTATTCCAACCTAAAAGCATGTTGTTTTGAGTTGTAATGATGACTTCTCACCAGCAGAGGGCACACTTGCCTAATGTTCACACGGAGCGTCAGTGGTGAAGTATTTCGCGCGCACCGTTCTGATTCTTGGTCCAACAGTTCAGCACCACTTTAGTGTGGACAGTGACCACGACCTGTTGGTCAGGAGTCCACATAAGGCCCAGGGATAGGGCTGTTTTAGCCTACACTTGTTTCAGTAGTAACAGTAAGTGCAGTGATTCAGCCTAAAGTCTGTGTTTAATAACTTATTGGTTGGATGTTCCTGTCGAGGCGGCTACAACTTGTGGAACGCGTTCATATCAGAAACATCATATTCATGTGGAGTGAATGGAGGAGCCGCCTGCGTGCTCTGATAGGTCGTGATTGTGCAGCAGACACGCGTACACACAGTGTGTGTAGTGTGTAGCCGGGATACAGCGCACAGAGTCCCTGGTATTTGGAAATGTTTGAGTTAGAAGCGCAGGATTACTGAGGGGGGAGACTGACAATTTGAAGGCATGCCAGGGGTACATTGTCAAATTCAAAAGGCATTTCAAAACCAACCTATTCACTTTTCTCTTCTGTCCTTTCCCCTTCTTTTCCTTACTGCCTTTCCTTGCGCGTCTTTCTCTCCGCTCGGTGGCAGGTCGTTTAAATCCACCAATGGCTCTGCAAGTTGGGGACATTGGAATGTAAATGAGCCCAGCGCGTGCTCCCGGCGCAGTGAAAGCTCGGGATTGTTTATTGAGCTACCGGAGCCACGCGCCTGGCCCGGGGGAGTCGGCGAGCGCAAGAATCACACAGCTGGGGCGGGGCCACGACGCAGAGCGTGCGTCCCAAAAAAGTGCAAAAGAAAAGGGGTGGGTGGGGTGTGTGCAGGGCGCGTGTTAAAAAAGAGGAGTGCTGCCAAAGTTTGGGTCAGATCGGCTCGTGGAGTAAGCAGTCAAGAGAGACTTGGACCAGAGTTAGCCACACGGTCCCCACGCGAAGGACACGAGAGCTGTTCACTGCCAGTTCTGCCTCTTCCTCTGTCCATTCACGGCACGCATCACTTGCCCCGTTGTCAGACATGGACACCAGCAGCACACAGGGTGCCTTCACCTTTGAACTGACCATGCACACCGGGACACAAGAGTCTACGGTCACCAACGCACCCGGCTTCCAGAGCAAGAACAAGGTGCTGAAGAGACAGCGCTCCAGTTCCCCCGAGCTCCTGCGCTGCAAGCGGCGCCTGAGCTTCAACGGCCTGGGATACTCCATCCCACCGCAGCAGCCCGTAGCCGTAGCCAGACGCAACGAACGGGAGCGGAACCGGGTCAAGCAGGTCAACATGGGCTTTCAGACGCTACGCCAGCATGTCCCCAATGGCGCAGCCAACAAGAAGATGAGCAAAGTAGAGACGCTCCGGTCTGCGGTGGAGTACATCAGAGCGCTGCAACAGCTCCTGGACGAACATGACGCGGTCTCCGCCGCCTTCCAGTGCGGATTGCCCTCTCCCACTTTGTCCAACAGCTACTCGGCGGATCCCGAGTCACCGCATTCCACGTACTCTTCAGATGAAGGCAGCTATGAACCGCTGAGCTCCGAGGAACAAGAACTGTTGGACTTTACCACCTGGTTTGACAGATACTGAACGTCTTTGGTCTTGTGAAGACAGTGGTACAAAGCAGTCCCTCTGTGCAGGGACAGTCTGCAGAGACCTCCTGGAGCAACGCAAGCAGAGCTTGTGGTAGCTGAGGGGAAAGCGGACGCGGGACGCGGGACAGTGTTTAATAAAAAGTGCAATTACCACACGGCAGCAGGCTCTGCAGAATCAGTGCTGGAGTTGGACTTTACGCAGAGACTGCGTCTTTGGCGTCAGTGGGACGGAGATACAACAAAGATGATGGACTCTTTATTGATGTACATCAAACTTGTATCATAAAGACTTATTTTTGTACATGACACAATGTTGTCACTGTCATTGGTGCGGTGCTGAGAGCTGGCTGTCAGTGGCCAGTGAGTGACAGAGCAGCAATAATACAGCTTCTACCTGTGACAGACTGTAGTTTTTAAATATAGGTGGTAAGGAGATACTCTTTAATGTATGCACTTGTTCTCCATCTGCTGTAGCCTATGTAAACAACCAATTTTAACAGATCTATTTTGTGTAATTTGTTATAAATAAAATGACTCTATTTATATTATACACCGTTGTTGCTTTTTTACACCAGAGCCGGTCTGAGAGGGGGCTGTATTAGTGACGGTAATTGAGCAAACTGTGCGTTTCTATTCAGATCCCCTGGATGACCTTATCCAGAGTTGCCTGGGTGCGCGGGGGAAATTACGCAGCTGGGTTGAGCACTCAATAACCATTGGAGACGCACAGCTTCTCTTGCGCTTTGAGGCACTGGGGACGGGGAGATTAATATTACGTTTCATGCATTGCATTGTTTCTTACGCTGCTTGTACCCAAAAGCCCAAGAGAGAGAGGGGGTGTACGGGAGGGGTGCAATTCACAACACTCAAAGGCTATAGACACTTTGAAATACGGCCCGGGGAAAGTTGGGCGCACAATAGCCGAAGGTCAAAATTCTTATTGGCGGATTGTGATCAATCTAAATAAAAAGCTTGCGCTTGTGCTGCTTGTATCCCCGGCTGTGTTCTTCACGGTATAATCAAAAAAGCACATCTCTTGCGGAATGGGGAGCACAACGTCCCATTGTGACAGACATTGTTTGCACCTTTACGCCTCATTATGCGAATTATGGCAGATCCTCAGCCTAAACACAACGCTCAGTCTATACCAGGATATGAAAGAGCAGCACTGTTTAAGGCAGTGACTGTGAACGTTTGCCTGTTATGATGTTATGAGCTAATACTCAAAACGAAACTTCATTTGAATAGGGATACTATGTTACTGAGAGCATGAATCCTGTGAATGAATCCTGTGAATCCTCTTCATCTCAGACAGAGAGTGTGCCACAAGTGCGTTGTGTTGTGATGGTCTCGGTGACACACAGCTTCAGCCGCAGGTGTAAACCAGCCACGTGCCTGTGCGCTTTGACAATGCGTCCTGCTCTCCCATTGGCTGAAGGCTCGCGTCCTTGTGCGCGCTCTATGAGCAAGTGACAATATCAAATCTATGATAAATGACATCAATTATGGCTTTATGTCTGCCTGCGTCACAGGGATTCCCAAAAAGACGAACCAATGTTGGTGAACCTACCCCGCTGTTCCTTTATAACCTTGTTGAAATGGTCTTTCTGTTTTCTTTGGAGTCAGACAGAGGCTAGAGTCTGGGACAGAACAGCGTTCAGAGGATGAATATGAGCGAGCTTTATGCGGGGATAAATGAGTCCTTGCCATCGTGTCCACGATTCATGTTGACAAAGCCTGGGTTGGGTTAATTGCGGCTATCCACTGCGCCTCATATACGCATGCGCCATGATGTATGGATTTGGTATGGAAATAAGATTGCGCCTGTTACGCATGATTCAAAAGGTGCTAAATTGGCCAGTGGGGTGGGAGGTCATATGCTGCCCTGAGCAAAGCCACCAGAGTGCACTTTGGCTTCTTATTGCTGTTTTGCATCAGAAATAGGGCCACTCTCCATTCATGCTGGACCGTGATATATTTATACGCACACTGCCAAACGTTCAACAGTCTTTCATGTTTTGACGCCAAAGGGGAAACGTTTATCAGCCCATGCCCCACAACAGGAGCGGCTTTGAGAGACACAACTATTTACATCATAACAATACAACTTGCTTTGAGATGTTGTTGTGAAAGTTAATACAAACTCATCAATATTGTGTCTTCATAATGAATTCATACTCCATTGACTTTTCCACAATAAGTTAAGACCACAATCCATACCAAACAATTGTGAAGTGAATGCAAAATGACACATGATTTTTACTTTTTTATAGATACTGAAGAAAATAACCAGATGCGGGGGTCTGGGATCGTGTCACAGCAGAAGACAGGTTTATTTGTTCTGCCATGTGATCTTCTGACGCCACTATAAGTTTTCTGACCTTCAGATAACCAAAACAATCAAGTGGAAAATCACTGACTTCTGCTTTCTGTGATGATCAGCTCAGTTTTAACATAATTGAACAAAAAGTCTTATACAAGATCCATAAAAAAACTGCTAATTGTGCCTTTAAAATTAATTAATTCACCCACTTTTCTCTTTGTAGAAACAGAACATGTTCACCTTTGTGCCACAAGACCATGGACAAAGACCCAGCCCATTCGAACACTTCTAATCTCTGTCATTTCTTCTATTACCTGATCTCTGGGTCAAATATGATGTCATGACGTAGTCTTTGGCTTCATTATCACTGCAGGTTTATGAATATAGTCTAGTTTTAGGGGAGATGTTTTTGATGTAAGTTCAAAGTGTATTACATAATTCAAAAATCCTGTGACCAAGATGAACAAAACTCTAGTCTAACACTCATCACCACATGTTTGCTATGACCTTAGGCATCACAAAAAGGCAGTGCGTATTTGTTGGAGTGTCTGCATTGTCTACTCATACCTGATAATATTTTGGGTTATTGGTAATAATTATGCATTGTGCGTGGATGGGAGACTGCAGGGAACCCTCTGACACTCTGTGGCCAGCAGGCTGTAGGCAACGTGCAAATGAATAGGACGTGACAGTGAGAGAGTGAGTGAATGGCTGGTGGTGGTTGGGGAGACCAATGGTACAGATTGGCAGTCTCATTTACATTAGCCTACCCCATGGCAGCTGTGGCTACAGAAGATCCTTGTGTAGTGGCAAGGATTGCGCTAAATATGCCTTTAAAGTGCTAATATTAGGAATGGCCCTGTTACGAATCACCAATGTTTTCCCACTTTAAAGGGTGTTGACAGCAGGATTCTACATGTGCATTTGGGAGTATTTCTAATTATCCTCAGTAGTCAACAAGTCACAGATTCAATGTTTTAAAATAAGATAAAATCACATTAAAAATGCCGGCCCAGTGGTTTGCACTTTAGCTCCACAGCAAGAAGGTCAAGAGGGCCAGAGGGTGCTCTGCTTTCTCCCCAAACATGTACAATAGTTCAGGGTAAATGTGTGTTTGTGAGGGCGACTATGGGACTACAGAAGGAAATTAGGCCAAGACTACAATCTGGAGTATTTACTGCACTGCTGTTCATTATTACACACTGTCCCAACACAATAAACAAATAAAAAAATAAATAAGTTGTCTAGAATTAAAACTGTTACTTTAAAATGGTGGTTTATTATTTTAATCTGTTATTTCACAATATAATAAAATATAGCACTTTTATTCATAATTTTGAAATTATATATTGAACCATTCCCTTTACCCCCATGTGATGCTTCACGACCCCCCAGGGGGTCCCCACTCTGAAAGAAGAAGCAAACTTGGCTGCACTCTTCTCCCCTCTGCTGGTCTCTGCACTTGCTTCTTTATTGCAACAGTTTTAGGGTTTTAAAACTTGAAATACTGTTCTAACGATGACCACACTTCTGTTACTACTTACTTTGCCCCTGTCGTTTACACTGATTTCCCCCGAATGGTGCATTCCTTGATTTCTCTGCACTTTTCACTGTAGTTGCACTGATAGGCCTCTCGTAGACGTATCAATTTAGAGACAAAACGCTCCGCCACTCCTCTCTCTCTTCTCCTTTCCCAGAAACCTTACTCCTTTTCAACAACAAAAAGCAAAGGTTCTCTGCAGCCCAATACTTTAATGTCGCACCTCGAACTCGTTTCAAAAGAACTGAACTCATGTGTGGAGGAGAGCGTGCGGTTGGAGGGACGGGTGCAGAGGCGGGGGCACTCATTTGCATGGTCTATTGTGTCGTACAAGTTGGGGTGCTTTTTTCTGGCCCAGGACCCTTTTGGCCATTTACTTCCACTCTGGCTGGCTGCGGCGGGGTTGTGAATAGTCTCGGCTCTGGGGGGAGACACAAAGACCCTTTTGTACGCCGGCCTCACCATATTCATCATGTAATGCCTGTAAGACAAATCTGATTGGACGTCTCTGTCACTTTGATGTGGGTCCAGGCAGGGTGCGAGTAGCCTTGAGATTGCTAACTTCACTCTTCATTGCCCTATACTCTGATAGGCGGTAGAGGCATTGGAGTTGGGCGTTTGGTGTCGCGGGGAGGGGTGCAGAGCAGGCAGGGGGTAGTCCTCATTATGTGCAAGAGCAAATTCATAATAAATTTCCCCCATTCTACAAAACCGGGTCGAGATGATTGACACTACTTTACGCCGGGCCGGACAAAAGGCCTGATTTAAGCAGAAAGCTGAATGAATGGGCCGAGCGTGGACTCGATTCAAACAATTTTAATCTCTGCCTGTCCTGTTATTTCTCCTCCTCTCTCTCTCCCTCTCTCTCACACTTAGACCCCCACTTTTTTCAAATACTGCCTCTTTTGTGCGCGTCATTCTCATTTTACAGGGTAATTCAACTCCAACGGATGTGCTAATTGTGCTGGGTTAAACTAGATGCTGGTGGACTCCTGTGATACAGAGCTTATTCGGGCCTAATGACGATAATGATGGTGCAGGGATGGAGTGGACTGTGCAGAGCAGGCAGAATTAAGGCTCCTGAGTAGTGGCCAATTTAGGGATTCAAATGCATTGGGCATTTGCTACTGGA